CTTGCCAACCCGGAGCTGTGCTGTGCACCAAAAATAGAAAATGGACTGGCGCGGTTGCAATTTTTTTTCGCTTTTGTTTTGGCTTGCGTTGCCAGCCAAAGAGGTTCGGCAGGCTGAGGCCCTGAAAAAAAATGCGGTTGTATATAAAAGTATAAATGAGTTGGAAGGCAACGGTTGGGAAAGGTAGTGGCGGTTTGAAATGACAAAAAAGACACAAGTTCTCAATGCGGCTCATGATTCTCATCCTTTTCGTCACTGGGATCTGCAAATGTAGGTCCCGGCTGCAGATACCATTCCGATTTTAACGGATGTTCTCGATGGGCATGATCCTATTTTCCTCCCGTCTATGTCGGGACAAATCTTGTTTGTTGTATTGGAATCCTCACAAGTCAGTACCAAATAAGACACGCCCTAAAATAGAAAGGGACCCAAGACAGAAGGCAGGTCCGTGACCATGGAATTCAGGAGGAGAATGTCGCGGTTTTCACATGTTACGGTCCTGGGTTTTCACATGTCACAGTCCTGGGTTGTCATGCTACGGTTGTACTCTGCCCACAGTCTGCAGGCAGGATCGGCAGCCAGTATCTGCACCCCGGAGCTGCAGCCAGGATCTGTGGTCGGGATCTGCAGTCGGGATCTGCGGTCGGGATCTGCAGTAGGGATCTGCAGCACAGATCCGTTGCTGTGATCTGTAGCTCAGATCTGTTGCTGCTGTGATCTGTAGCTGGTCTGCATCTGTGATCTGCATCCGTGATCTGCATCTGTGATCTGCAGCCGGTATCTGTCGGGGTAGATGGTTGTGCCTTTTGGAAGTAGAGGGCACCCTGTTGCAGATTCAGATACCACAGACTGCTGGGAATGTCCACCCCTCGTTGTGAGCGGGAGACAATCACACAGGAAAAGTATGTCTCAGACCAGGAAATTGTATCATGGACCCCTTTTTTGTCCTTGTGATGGTGGTGATGAAGTTCAAGGGAAGGCTCTAGGGAAATCAGCCTTTGCAGGGAGAGAGGAATGACCGCCTTCCTTGCTTCCTTCCTTCCCTCCTTTACAAGAATATGGCGTTGGTGGCAGAGGCAGCAGTGCTTGGCGGGGCGTGACCCTTAGTTGTTTGTCGGCTTAGAGGGTGTACAGCAGCTTTGCGGTTTTTTTGGCTTAGGGCCTTAGGCCCTTTTTAAGGGGTTACGCCGACTACGTAGGGTTTAAGGTTTGTCCGCACTTTGTGGTAAATGTAGGTCAGATGCAGTCTATCAGAGCTAAATATAGGCGAAGTGGCAAAGCGGAAGAGGATTGGCTACTTGTAGGTGCCCAGTGAGGTCTACTGGACAGGACCAGCAGCCATTGGACTGAGGGCCAGGCCACACTGGTGCTATCTTTGTGCTATGCTCCCAAGCGCCTGGCCAAATTTTGTTTCTAAAGATGAAGATAGCGCCAGTGGGGCCTCGCCCTAGCTGCCGCCTTCCAAACACAGCCGCTGGCAGGCTGTACAGCTTCTGCATTGGCCTCAGCTATCCTCCCTCAGTGGAAACTGTGCATCGGCCAAGTTCTTAGCACAAGTCTGCGGGTGGAAATTGGCGATTGGTACTTGAGAGACTTTGTGCCAAGTACTTAGCACAAGTCTGCGGGTGGGAATTGGCCATTGCTATTTGCACCGAGTATGTAGCACAAGTCTGCGGGTGGAAATTGGCCATTGGTATTCTCACTCAGTGCAAACTGCACATTTGTGCTAAGTACTTAGTACAGGTCTGGGTGTGAAACTGGCCATGGCTATTTGCACGTAGCACAAAGGCCACATTTGTGTCAAGTACTGAGTACAAGTCTGGGTTGGAAATTGGCCATGGCTATTCGCTCATAGCACAAAAGTTGAAAAGTCACATTTGTGCCAAGTACACAAGCCTGGGTTTGACAATGGTCACGACTATTCTCACGTAGGACAAGCACCACACCAGTGGGACTTTTGGTCTGTACTGGCAGGTAATGATGGGAGTATTACTGCAGCACAACTTTGAGAAGACGCCCCTCGCTTTGTGAGAACAAACTGGATCTGATCGAAGCATATGCAGTCTTCGCCCAGTCTACTGTCAGTTCTTTTTTCTGTATCTATCTATATTTTTTTCTCTATCTATCAATATCCTTATTAAAGAGTAACCCGGGTCTCACGTGACGCATCGCACGTGAGTCCCTTTTCACGTTTGGGCCCAGGCCGGTGTACGCGATTCTCCCCTGGGCTCGCGGTGCCAAGTGGGCCGCAGGACGTCGGGAGCATGTTCGAATACAAATACATAGCTGGGCTTGGGCGGGGACACTCGCAGCAGGGCGTTTTATACTTTGGAGAAGTTTGGACGTGATCCGGGGCAGATACGTTCTGGAAAGTGGCAGAGTGGCTGGGGTAGTTGTTTTTTGTTGTTGTTGTTGTTTTGTTTGCTTTTTGTCGTGTTGTGGCCCAAGCGCCGCAGCCTGTCCAGCAAGGACTTCGAACGTGATCTGTGGCAGATACATTTGTTTTTCTTGCAGAGAGGTTTCCGGTGACAGCTGGCATTGTCTCAGTACAGTAGCAGCCCGTTCACTGGGGCTTTCTTTGCTAACTGTCTGTTTTCTTTTTCCGGTCGCAATTTGGGTGAGCGCAGCGGCATTTGTCCTTCCCCGTCTGGTTTTTTTTTTTTTTTTTTTTTTTTCCCGTTGCCTTGCTGGGCGGTTGCGGCATTTGTCCCTCTCTTTTTTTTTCTTTTTTCCCCGGGTCCTTTTTAAAATTTTGGCTCTTTCCCGGTTTCCCCATGTTCGAATACATGTACACAGGGGGTTGCTCCACTACTCGCCACATGCAGAAAATACACAAATCATGGTGGTGTATATCTTTCCATGCTCTGCCGGAAGATCATTTTCCACAATTGTTGGTGGTGAGTAATGGAGCCGTGCCCATAGCAAGGCTGCTTCGAAGTGTCTGCAGGCCCTTTGTTTTTGCAGGGGTTGTGCATGCGGTCCACCTGGCTGGCCAGGAACATGTAGAATGTTGTACACTGTTCTTTTGGTCCGAATGCATGTGACCGACTCGCCTGTCTCTCAACGTTTTGAATGTATAGAGATGATAATCAGGACAGATACATTTTCGGTGCTGCATAGAGGAGCGAGGCAGAGAAAAGAGGCTGTGCCAAGTGCCCTTTCTGGCTCTGCCATTTTCTCTGTCTTCCCCTTTGTTGGGCCGTGGCATCGCCGTGGCGGGCCCAGTTGTTTTCTATAATAGGTATGTCGACTCCTCAGCCAACATGTGATGCATACTGAAGTGACACAAACTAAAAGGCTGCAGAAAAGGTCCTCTGGGAAAACTCGCACTGTTTCTTTTTCAGGTGAATCTTAGGCGGAATATCAGTCACATACGTCTAGAAAAGTCCTACTAGGAGTAAGATGTCCTCGTTCATCATGAAACAGGAAACGATGATGTTACATCACAGACCTCGGCCGTGACAAGCGCGCAGTCTATTCGCGGGAAGCATGGTTGTTTCTTCTGAGAAGCTTCGCTGCCCACCACCTTTGCCCAGTCTTGCTCTGCGAGACACGCGGTAGTGTCTAATCACTGTGCAAGGGACACTTGCATTCATGAGTTGCTGATTTCATGAACTCTCTGGGAGGAATGGATTCTTTATCCTTTCCCTAACACGAGTGTGCTGGCGGCAACCCACTCGCTTTAAAACTTCAACATCATTACATGATTACACATAATTTGAGTTGAATCGTTTTAGGCAAGTGCTATTCTCCCCAATGTTCTTGAGGATCAAGCAGTGTGATTGGTTTTGGATTTGGTTTTTATCGTGTACCGAGTTTGGTGCTTTTGTACACAGCATTCAAACCTATTGCCGAAGTGAAGAATGTAAGCAAGATGTCCCCTGCTCTCCCAATCACTTCTAAGTTCGCAAATGTACACTCGATAAGTTCTTTGTTTTTTCTGGAGTTCATGCTGCCATGTTTCGCATCGCTTTCATCATTTTGTTTTGCTGTGCTTTGCTTTGCGTTGTGCATGTTCTTGACTGAACTGATCCATTCTCAGACCCTGGCCAAGAGTTATTAAGCGGTTCATTGGGCAAATTAGGGCCCTATATCCTCAAGGCCCCAGGAACATACAAGGTTGGCCGGAAAGGTAAGCGTCATTTACCTGGTGTGTTATGCCTTTCATTACTGTACATACTCTGTCAAGTATTTGTTAATTAATGCACAACGTTTGTTCGACTATTCTATTCTGTGGCTATACACGAGACCCTTCTGCAAGCTTTCCTATGCGGGCAAGATGACCAAAGTGTCCTTTTCCGCTTTTTTTATGCTGCTCTTCACTCAAGCTTTGTTATTGGTTGGCCTGTCTGTGGGATTGTCAGATCATTTCTTGGTCACACAGATCTATGTATTCAAATGGCATGGATCAGGTTCGCCAAGGGTGCGTACATGAATCAAAGTCGATACACGTTGGCACAGAAAGAGAAACTAAGTAGAACACAGCAGGGGAGATGTATGTGGTCGAGGGTTGCATGCACACACACACACACACACACTGGGTGGAATTGGGGCTGTTGTGGGGAAAATCTAAAACACACACAGAAGAGGGGGGGGGCGGGGAGGGTGTGGTTGCATCAATGTCCCCCCTCCCCCTCCCTCTCTCTCTCTCTGTGTTGCGTGGCTGCATGGGCCCAACACAGACACAGATATACATACATACATACACACACACACAGTACTGTACTCGTGTATGGCACGCTGACATGTCATGTCCAATTTGTAGACAGGGGCTGGAATGGCAATGCCTCTGTAATTGTGGTCGACGTGCCTCCGTGTTCCTAGCATCTAGGAGTCGTGTAGCCCGTTACATTTGTCTGTGCCGCGCCATTCGATGCAGCAACTACGACTGCGAGAATTGGATGTGGTGCTTCAAAAATCCACACCCGAACCGGTCCTGTCCGGTCTGTAGGGGTGGCCACTTACCATGGGCAATAGCTGCTCGTCAACCCCAAATCTTATGCAACCCAAACACTAACTGACCTCATGTGCCATTCTAGAGTAGCCGTTCCAGCGGTCAGTATTTTGAATTCTGCGAAGTTCGTCATGTATATCTCTCTCCTGCCCTTTGCATGTCAACTCCATCCTGCCCTTCACATATTTCTCTCCTGCCCTTTGCACTCCACTTCCCCCTACCCCACACTCCTGTAGAACTCCGCCTCCTGTTCCTTTCCCGCCAGCCTCCCCTTATGTGCTACTAGCAAATACATACGAATGAGAATCGTTAAGAGAACAGACAAAGCATAAGCTGAAGATCTGAAGTGAAGTGAACAAGAGTATGAAGACAAACGACCGACACAAAGACTAAGTAGAAGCTGAAGATCTGAAGGGAAATGAACAGGAGTATGAAGATCTGAAGTGAAATACACAGGAGCATACCTTCCCCTTTATTCTGCCTCCTGTTATAATATGCAAGTGGGCCGTTAAGGCACACGGGGATGTGGGCAGCTGGCGCTCAAGCACAATCAACGTGGGCAGCCTTGCACATGCGAGGCATAGTAAAAGAGGAGCTGTTGCCCCAAAGAAAACCCAGCTAACACACAGCTCTAAATGGTTCTATTATGAGTCATGTTGCTTGCTAAAGAAGTGAAATTGTTTAATTGTTGGGCTATCTCAACTTGAATCTATTCATCTCGGTGGAATAGGGGCTGTTGTGGTGGAAATTTAAAACACACATGCACACCCACCCACCCACACACACACATACACACACACACACACACACACACACACACACACACACACACACACACACACACACACACTCACACACACACACACAGGCACAAAAGAGAACGCACAGAAGAACATGGAAGCACAATGAAAACAAAGCAGTCATGAAATCTCATACAAAAGACTGAACAGTCATGCCGAAATCACATATAGAAGCTGAATATGAAATACATGTCACATGGTATGAGTGTCGTCGACACTTCGTCACACTCGTACCGAGTCGTACGGACTCGTATAGCCAAGGGTCACAGCCTACATCGCTAACTAACATATCCAGAAAGAAAACCGAAACAAACACCTACGTAATACGACGAGTCACAATGAAGTCCCACCTCAAACAGAAACCCAAGACCAACACAAAAAAATGACACGCCGTACATGAACCAAAAACGTAAAACAAAAATGAACTCTCGACGTCACTACCTCAATCTACCTGCATGCTAATGTCCATGAACTGGTCCTAAGTGCCTGGAACCTAACTGTATGTACATCATCCTAAACAATATACAGAATGGTCGACAGACAAAGATGGATGAACGACATATACGCGAGATGGAAGGGGAATGAAGTTGTCAAGACTGTCGACCTCACTTCCCCTTACCGCTGCCTCTCCGCCTCTCGCGACCCGAGTTGCCTGTCCGTGACACACCTCGTCGGCTCGCCCCGGTCGCAGCGGATGGTCCTCGACTCCTCGTGCGGGGTCTCGTCTCACGAAACTCCTCCTGCCGTCTATCAGAACCACATCGTGGTCGAGGGGAGGGCTCATTGTCGTCGTCGTCCTCCTCCTCCTCCTCGTCATCCCTCTCCTCCTCCCGACTCTCGTCATCCTCTCTGTACTCGTCATCCTCAGGCGGGTCCTCGTCACGTGCTGGCTCCGCCTCGTCCTCCTCTACGATGACCTGCTCATCCCCCCTCCTCACCTGAACAAGCCTAGTACTCGCTCGAGTGACAACCTCGACAGTCTTATCACGACGAGAACCCCGCGGCATCCCCAAACCCTCAGGTCCTGAAGACTCCTCCAATGCGGCACCACCCGCCGCAGGCACGAGACGCGGACGAGAGTCACGATATGCTGCGCTCCTGCGCGAAGTCTGGTCACGCACAGCACGTGCTGCTGCTGCCAAAGCGTGCTGCAAGGTGGACTCGGCCTCTACACCCCCACGAACATGTCGCGGTTGAGAAACTGCCGCCATGACCTCCCGAGCCGCACCCCTCTCGGTGCCACCCCCACCCAAACCTGGCTGGAGTCGTGCAGTGTGCACTATTACCCGGCGAGTCGAGTCCAGGTCGATATCTGTCCTCCCGAATAGCGTCGTGTCAAAAGGGAGGCTCCCTACGCCCGTGGTGTCACGGACCCTGGGTCTGCCAGGCGTGGATGGTGAGCGGAGGTGTGCACGCGCTGGTGTCGAGGGTGAATCTCCGTGACGTGATCTCGGAGGAGGAGGCGGCATGCCTGGTCTCCGTGAGTATGTGTCCTTCTCCCATGTGACATTACGCACAGCAGCCCGTGCGAGCTCTGTCGCATCAAATGGGCAAGCAGTATCCTCAGGAGCTCGCCACCCACTAACGGAAGTCTAAAGCGGTGGCTCTGATCCTAAATCCACCACTACGACCGGTGGTACCTCGTCAGGTGCCACCTCCTCAGAACCTGAGCCATGCACACATGGTCGAACTGGGCGTGTCGTCGTCGTCAGCTGCATGCCCGCGAAGTGTACCAACGGACCGCTACCTCCCAGGATCTCTACAGCGGCTACATCGTCATGCTCCTCCTGAGGGTGCTCTCGTGCCTCCTCGTACCCCTGCTGAAGAGTGTCCCGTGTACGAATCCTGGAGGCTCCTGCGAATGCCTGCTCGATGTCCTCTGCGGAGTAACCAGCGGCCGCTAAGGCACGCGCTATATCCTCTATGTCTGCGCGACGACTCTGACAAGGGGTGGGAGGATCCACATCTGAGCAAAATCCCGCATCTCATCGTCAACAGCCCCGCTCTCTCCTGATGGCGACGCCCCTAGTGCCCTCATCGTGCCCGGGGTCAAACCCGATAGTGCGGGACCCACCTCATCAGCGATGAAACGCTCGATAGTCGGATCAAGGGTGTCGCTGCCCTCTCCTCCGTCATGGGCGACGTCACCCTCTAAAAGAATGGCCTGTCCCTCAACCAGCGCAGTACCATCTGCCCTGACCACGCCCTCCTGTCTCTCACGCTGCGCAGCATAGGAAGGCACTGCCACGCCCTCCTCTCTCCCAACCTGAGTAGTCACAACGTCCTCCTCTCTCTCTACCTGCGCACGATCATCCACCTCCACTGCCACCTCCCTCTTAACCTGCGCACGATCATCCACCTGCACTCCCGCCTCCCTCTCTACCTGCGCACGATCATCCACCTCCACTGCNGAGAGAGAGAGAGAGAGAGAGAGAGAGAGAGAGAGAGAGAGAGAGAGAGAGAGAGAGAGAGTGTTAATCTGGGTAGGTCCCGAGATAGGGCTTATTGACTTTTTCCTTTGGTCTTCTTTTTTTTCTTTTTTTTTTTTCCAAAGAACAGAACTTCTTGGCTCTGGCTCCTACCATTCTGGGGAGCGACAGTCCGGTTCCTCTCCCCCGGCAAGTCAATTAGGAATACATCAGAGACTCACACACACTCCCCCCCATTATGGTTGGGAGGCCCGAGTAGACGGCATTGATTACTTCCTTGAGGAAGGATGTACCACCTCTCACCCCTGCCTAAGTTACCCTCTGCTAATTTTGCCTACCAATCCGTCTGGTCCCAGTTCTACTCCTCTCAGTTGTGAAACTGTCAGGTAGGTGTGTTATTCGAGAGGGTTCTGGGCCCCTTATAATCGTCTTTGAGGCCTCACCCTCTAAATTCCTATTTGTTTTAATTCGTGTAAACCCTAAACCCTAGACCCTAAACCCTGATCCTTAAACCCTCGGTTGTCGGACTATCTTGTTGCACCCATTTCCTAGAACGAACAAGGAAAACCTGTGCTATTCCTGAGCCATAAACCCTGAACCTTCTCTGAGGGGTAATCCCTGTGAACTAATGATTCTTATCCTGTCCTACTTCATGTTTCCCTTACGCGACGTTCATTCTTTTAGCCCTATTGTCTTAGGCCTTGATGAAACCTTGCTTCCTGGCCTGTTATTCTTGGGTAGCTGTTGAGACTAGCTCTGTTCGAGACTGTCTAATAGGCTGTCTTTCCTGATAGCTGGGAGTGGAGAAGGTATGCGAATGCAAGGGGGTGGGGGCGAAGGTATTTTGTTGGGATTTGTCGTTATGGTATTGGATCAAGGTGGGAGGGTAGGCTTTAGTTGGGAGTGAGGGTTTTAGTGGACGTTTCGAGCAATTTGGGATTGGAGACGGGGAGAGTTTTCAGGGGGATTGGAACCTTTTTTTTTTTTTTTTTTTTTTTTGTTTTTATATTTTTTTTTTTTTTTTTTTTTTGTAATTCACAGTTATTTTTTTCATCTGATCAACAGGATTGAAACTCAAGTCTGT